ATTATCTTTTTTGGATTGTTGGCCCTTTAATTTGTTTGATTTTTACTATGATCAATGTTGCTTATTCATGTCTTTGGCCTTTTTAAGGAAAATAAGAGGAGAAGCACTTTCTAAATTTGATGCTTGGATTGTTTTAATACTTTTAATTATTAGCATGGATCGTGTTTAGTCAATTTACTTTGTTTTTGGCATTATTTGATGGTAATGTGCTAGAAGTGCTTAATTTATAGATTTTTTAAAAAATTAGCCAAAGGGGTGTTATTTTTATTGATAAAATATTAACAAGATATCTCTTGTCTTGTCATGTAAGTTGTTAATAAATCTTGGCTCTTTGAATCCTACTAGTGTAATATTTTTGAAACGATTTATTTTGGTCAAGAATTTGTGTGATCTTATTGGTAACAATTCATATTTTCTTTTATTCCAAGTTTTGCATGTTTTTATGGGGATCAGATTGAATCTACCATGGATTTGTTTTGAAAACCCAAATAATCTACCATGGATTTGTTTTGAAAACCCAAATAGGCCTTATAACAGTATCGATTTCTATATAAAGAGATAGCTTACCCAAGTGGTTATGATTGTATTATTTGTGTTAAAATTTTATCATGTGTTATTTTCCACCATTCATTGAGAGATAAAGTTTTGATTTGTATTATGAAGTTCGCCGCATCCTTATTATTGAGACTTACAACACTTTGGAGAGTGTTTAAGTGGAAGTGAATGGATTACAGATTCAGGGGGAGCATAGGTTTAAATTCATGTGTAGTAATAGGAAAAGGACTCTGAATTAGGGATCGTTCAAATAAGACCATCATGTACTATTGATTATTCTTTATTAGTGAATTTCCTTTTGATTGGGCTATTTCCCTTCAAACATAAGTGACAATTGCACCAAACTAGGTTAAAAATTTCTTGTATATTTTATTTATTAATTCAAATCATCTTGTCTCACACATTGGATCAACATTGTGTGTGATATCTTACCTCTAATCGAGCAGAATTTCAATAACTCCAATATTTAGTCACAACAAATATTAATTAGACTTGTCTTATACAAAATTGGATATCACACTATCTTGAGTCATTCTCAAATAACTTATTAATCTGGGAAAGCCAATGGCATGTGAAGACCGGTCTAATCTATATGTTCAATTCCATAAAGGTACGCCAATTACAAATGACCAAATAGACCTTCGTCTATAGGTTTCATATTATGTTCCACTTTTAACTAGGTCATTGATATGCATTCAACGGTCTTCCGCGCTTCATCCCAAACAAATCGGAGACAACTAAAATTGCCTCCTATTTATATGTATGATATAGTCATGCCTAGACATCTTTTCACTCATACTTGTAAAGTTCTATGTCATTCCTACATCGATTTGAGTATTAAAGTGTTAATAGTTTGTAGCCTCTCCGATCATCGGAGAATCATAACCACCGTACCCGAAATTTCACCACAGTGTCAACCTATCCAACTATCAGTATAATGTATGCCATTTGGTTTAAATTTTTTAAATTATCGTTTTATTGTTGAAAGTTAACTATTTAGTTAAATTAAATTTTCGATATCTCACCTTTAACATATTTGCTAAATTTTTCTATTTAAATATGGCAAAGGAAAATATGATTTCTTATATTCTCCTATCTTCTTAAATACAAAGTGCATCAATATACATCATATGCATCCAATAGTGTGAGAAGTTCTATTTTATAAGAAAAGTAATAATTAGGTCTAATGTAAATTTTATGGCATTTTGGTTAAAATCAAGTTGAATCGAGTTGTTCTTTGGTTTTAATTAAGCCATGTTCAAGCCAAAAATAATGTTTGTCACAATCTTAAATCGATCTTCAAACCAATACAACTCTTATCAAGTCGAGCAAAACTATAATAAATTTGATTCGGCTTGAATTATTCAAGCAATCAAACATGAAACCAAACACTCCCTAGTCGACATATATTCGTGTCAGTTTTATTTGACAGTTTGAGAAGACAGCACAGAGCAGAGAGATTGAGTGGTACTAGTATAGCTTTGGAGTGAACAACTAAACATTGAATATGACTATCACGAACATTTTCCTTATGCAATAAATTATATTTCATGTTCCTAACTTCCATGTGAGACTATGGTCCCTACCCCCTCTCTTTGGTAGACAAAATGTAAACAACCATATGCCCAAATCACAATCACTGCTAGTTACATCTATTTCAAGACCCTTTGAGCACTTCATTGATAACACTACATTATAATTTTCTTGATATGATAATAGACACTTATATGGATTCATAGACAAACATGTAGAATTATGTGACCATTGTAGCCATTACTCCAACAAAGAATGAGTTTCTAAATTTGTTTTTTCTTTAATGAAACATTGCATTGTCTTGTTTAGAAAATAAAAATTACTTTAGTTTGGTTTATAAAAAGATGATTAATTATGTGTTTAGGTTATACCTATTTGTTTTTTTAGTCTAAATTTTATAAAGATCGGAGTTTAAATTACATTGACGATATTGTATCCTATTGCATCGATCGGGAGACAGATAAATGCAAACACTTTGATTTCAAGTTATTGACTAATGTAAGTGAGAGATTTTAGTGTTAGAATAGTATGCCTGACTATGAAATATTGATTATACTTTTATAAAGAGTTCTAGGGTTTAAATTTTTAGAACCATTTCTTAGGATTATCTCTCTCAGAGAACAAATGTTTGCATATTGTAAGTCACGAGATGTGATGGTCCAATTCATCTTATGAATAATTTAAACTCTTCATTCTTTTGGGTTAATTTTCTTTTCAGCCTTCCTAGATTAGACGTCAGACCAAGTCTAATATAATACCAATATCTTCATAAATATTTGTTGAAGTTTGAGATTTTCTGGCTCTAGTGAGTTTTAAGATTGTCTTTGAAGACGTGCAAGACGAGTTATTGCTCAGGATCCATAATTTTTTCTTAACTATGATTAAATAGAATCTCAAAATATTATCACATTTAAATCATGATTTAATAGGATGTCTATTTATTTTATGATAATTAATCTGCATCTAACGCACACAAAAATTCTAAAAACTTGAAACAGAATTTGGAGATCTATTAGAAGCCAACTCGATGTATATAATTAAAAAAGCTTATATAGAGTTTGATAGAGACTAACGAAATTGTTTGTCTGACACAATAATAGATGAAATATAATTAAATTAAATTTATAATATTAATTATTAGTATTATTATTTAACTCGAATTTTTAATTTTATTATCTATTATTATTGTTATATTAACATATTTGAGATATTAAAGAAATAAATAAAAAAATTATTTTATTAATTAATTTTATTTATCTTTTATATTTCTTAATTTTTTCTATTTTTTTCTAGTTTTAGCACTCTAACACATGAACACTTTGCTTCGTTGGCCATGGTATCTATAAATATGTAGCAAATGAAAGTTCGGTCTCCTTGTTTAGGACCACTAGCGGTTTACTCATTAATTGCCCACCACCATGATACATTCCTTTCATGCTAGCTTTCTTTATCTTCACATTAATTAGTTCTTTTTTCTTCATACCCCATTTTCACAAACTAAACTCATCTCTTTACCTCTTCTAGTTATTTACCGGTACAAACTATAAACCCTATCTTAAAGTAAAAACTAAAATAAGCATATGATTATTTTCAGCTGGCAAAGTAACAAGATACTGAACATGGGGCAGATCTCTGAGAATCAGTTTTATGGTGGTTGTTTGGTATGGCTTTATACAATGAGAATGATATTGATATGTAACATACAAAATGTAATTCCCAAGTAATTGATTTTTACATGATGGATTCATATAACTGCCTCACCTAATAATGATAATATTAGTGGTGGTTGAAAAATAATAACCTAAATTACTATATGTGCATTCTTTAAAAGACACTTGTTGTTTTTGTCATGTGTACTATAGTAGAAAATTGATGAAATTTTTCCACCAGAAATTGTTAGGAGATCCATGCTAGAAAAAGTAATGCTATGAAAGTAACTCTCTTTAATTATTTTCTACGTACATAGCAAAATACTACCGTTACCAACTGCCAAATTCAAATTGACTGTTTTGCCCTTAAATATTGTATTTATTTCTAGCATGTTGCTGAATTTTTTAATATTTTAAAATGTGATTTTTTTTTAGTAGTAGAAATAAGTCACATAGTTGATGATATAGAAAACAAACTCACACTAAGAACACATTTAATAGTGCAATCTATAACGGGTGGCTCTAGTGAGTTTTTATAGTAACACGTTACTATACTGAAGGACGTGGTGATAAGAAAGTTAACGATTTTTGGGATTTGATTTTAAGGGCATGTAAATGAATTTATGGTGGTGCATTAAGACAAATTTAAATTAGAAAATAGAGTTGGTGTACTCCTTTTATAATTATTTACTAATTAGACAAAAAAAACTGGTTTTGTAATCAAATAAAATTCCCGTAATTCTCCCTTTAATAAAAAAAACACATGCAAAGGACTCATGTTTAATAATATGAAAGATACTGAAAATACTGTTACATCAAGCTCTTAACTTTAAAAAGCTGTTTATCTATAAAAGATTATTTTTTGCTTAATGTTTGGTTGGTTTTTTCTTTTTTAATTATTTTTGATAGAAAATGCATCTTCATTAATAGACAAATAAGTAAGGATTACAAATGTTATTAGACAATTGAAATGCAACATAGTTCATACAGAGTCTAGAAACACTTCTAAGAGGAAACACTACAAAGACATAAGAAATATTATACATAGAAACGTGGGAGTGAGAATCCATAGTCTTTTTCCAAATCCAATTAAGGATAATTTCTTTGAATTGTGTTTGTATATTTCGACTTCCTTTGGTCTCAAAATTGTCTAATCTTTTTGAGTGTTTACAAATTAATAGATGACCAGAGATAGTTTTGAAATTGATGTTGAACTTATAAACTTCCTCAATCACTATGAAATGCCCAAAGACACACATAACCATGCTAAAAGACACAAACTCCTTTGAGGCATTTTGTCAAACACCAAGAGTGCATCATTTACCACAAAAACACAAAAGAGAAATTAAGAAACCGAAATTAAACATCTCTCTTAAAATTTTCATACTATATAACCATGGCGGCTTCGGTGGTGGACGAAAACTTTCGGGAAACGGAGTTGTAGGAGCAACTATCGGAGAAAGAGATTCATCTGCCATTGTCGTGTTTGAGATGTCCAGAAAAGTCACAACTACCTTGTCATTTCTTGGTGGTGGAGGCTCCGGTGGTGGCCGCAAAAGAAGAAAAGGAAAATTGACGATTGGTAGTGGTGGAGAGAGGAAGATTCCGGTGAGAAGCTTTGTTATGGTGAGGATTTGAGAATGAATATGTGTGAGAGAGGAAATTGCTCTCTCTCTCTCTCTCTCTCTCTCTCTCTCTCTCTCTCTCTCTCTCTCTCTCTCTCTCTCTCTCTCTCTCTCTCGAGAGAGAGAGAGAGAGAGAGAGAGAGAGAGAGAGAGAGAGAGAGAGAGAGAGAGAGAGAAGGAGCCACCATAGAGGTGGAAGCAGAGAGTCACCATGAAGGTGGGGAGAAGCCACCAAACCCTAGAGGATTGGGGGAAAGTTTTCTTGAGAGAAGCGAGAGCATCTCGCTTTAATGTTTGGTTCGTTAAGAGCATCTTCAATAGTGCTATTAATTTTTTAATTTTTTGTGGGACCTATTAAGCCACATAATTTTAAAGCAATTCATTTAATTTTCACTTGTGCAATTTTAAAGAATCTATATTGGGTCCCACAATTTTACCATTAATATTTTATTTATATTAAATTATTATTAATTTAAAATAATAAAATTAAGACTGCATCATAGTGCAAGGTTTCTATTGGATCATTGTTCAATGCTACTGTTGGATCCCACAACTACACTTTTATTAATTTTATATTTATGCTATAGTTGCATTGTAGTGCAACGTTTGACATGTTGGCGAACTCCAACAAAAAAATTTTAAGACTATTGTTGATATATATATATATATATATATATATATATATATATATATATATATATATATATATATATATATATATATATATATATATATATATATATATATATATATATATATATATATATAGTGTTAATAATATTTGTATGTAGAATGGTCCCATATCGACTATGTTCTGGACTGGGCCCGACAGGCCCAAAAGCATTACTAAGGCCCAGTCCAAAGGGACTCACTAAGGACCACACTGGGCAAAGGGGGTCACATCCATGCCCGACACCCTGATGTCCACCTCGACATCTCGATGTCCAGCCCCACGCGGTGAAGTCATGCTCGACACCCTGCCGTCCAGCTCTATGTCCTGGCGTCCAGCTCGACACCCGCTGTCCAGCTCGAGGTCCTGGCGTCGAGCTCGGCACCGTGCTGCGCAGCTCGACATGGTCTCGAGCTACCCGGCTAGGGCAGACTCAGTCCACCGTTCCCCCAACGATACTCCGGAAAGACCGCGTCTCCGTCCGCCCGCACTTCACGCATCACATCCAGGAAGGGGACCACGTGCAGGTCCCCACTACCCACGTAGAACCTGGCAGTTCCTCCATTGGGCCAAATCCGCCCGACCCAATGAAGGAACCTTGGCCCAGCGCTGGGGGCTATAAATACCCTCTGTTTCTAGAGGGTCAGGTATTCATCATTCTAACCTCAACTCTATTATCTGCTCGTACTCCCACTGACTTTAGCATCGGAGTGCCTTGCAGGTACCCCCCCCCCTCCTCGTTCAAAAAGCTTTCTGCTCGGAGCCAGCCGTGACAGTCCAAACCTTCTGATCAGGTCAGATCAGTGGCGCCGTCTGTGGGAAACAGCTTCCCCGTCTAACGAACAATTCCAAAGACCAAAGCTCAATTCAATTACCTGTCATGGCTGATCCAGCTCGTGAAGAACAGCACACCCGCGTCACCGACACCAACAACGGTCCCGCAGACAAGAATGGACACCTCGACAATCTCGGTGATCCCGGCCGCAATGCCACCCCTGCGACAACCGCCCCTGGACCTTCCACCCGCAGGGACGGGAACACTGCGTCTTCCTCGACGACCCCTCCAGCACTCGAAGACGACCCGGAAGCTCTCGCCTATCGCCGGGCTTCCCGGTTCTATGAAGTCCAAGTCCCTGCCGAGGCAGATGCCACGACTCAGGCACTGTTCGCGGCCATCAACCAGACAAATTATCTCCTATTCGCCCAAGGAGAAAGACTAAGGGCACTTGAAAATGATCGACGACCCCCGAGGAGACATCAGAGGCCACCATCTCCACCTCCTCGGGTCGAAGAAGTTCGACACCCTACTCCCCCGCGGAGACATTACAGGGAGAACTCTAGGAGCCCCTCTCCCCCACCAAGGCAGAGGCGGCCCCAATATGAAAGACAGCCCGTCATCCCTACCGAAGAACCCAGTCGCGACCCATCAAGGCACGACAGGAGGCACAACAGAGACGGGCATGTGACCTTCAACCACCGAGCATCACGCTCGAGGGAATCTCAGCACGACCAGCGTGCCAGACATAACTACAGGACCCCTTCTCTTTCTCCGGAGAGGAGCGACGAGGACGACCCCCGCGGTCCCCTGTCGCAGGCCATCATGGACGCACCTATTCCCCCGGGCATGGAGAAGCCCCCACACCTGAAGGAGTATGATGGAGTGGCGGACCCAGTCGACCACATTGACGGGTTCGAAGCCATGCTCCACTATCACAATGTCGGGGGGCCCATCAAGTGCCGTCTCTTCCCAACAACTCTCAGGAAGGCGGCCATGAACTGGTACAAAGGACTCGCCCCGGGCTCCATCACCTCGTGGCGGAACCTGAAGAACCAGTTCATCAGTTCCTTCACAGCTTCCCGTCGCCACCCGAAGACTGAGGCAGCCCTCGAGGCCATCATTCAAAGACAGGATGAGACTCTGAGGGAATTCATTAACCGCTTCAACCGGGAAGCAATCCAGGTCCCCTGCGCGGACCATATGAAAAGGTACTTGCTGGAGAGGGGCCTCCTCCCCGGCACAGAATTCAGAAAAGCTGTGGGTATTGAGCCACCTGCAACTTTTGATGCTCTCCTCGACAAAGCCCGAGCATACATGGACTACGAGGAGAGAGAAGCTGCCAACAGGGCACGAGACTCCAGGGCTCGCAATCATGGCAGCAGCTCGAGATAAGACCCTCCTCCCCGACGGACCGGAGAGAAGAGGAAGGAAGATCGACCCCGGGAGGTTCGGGAACAAAGGGGCCCCTCGGGCCGTTTCACTGAGTACACTCCGCTCACAGCTTCCCGCGAGCGCATTTTGGCGGAGTGTGCTAGCACAGATTTTAAAGACGGTGGCGTCAAGCGTCCCCGGCCAGCTCCTGCCAAGCCAGGAGTAGACAAAAACAAATACTGTCAGTACCATAGGAGTCATGGTCACTTGACAGAGGACTGCGTCCACCTGAAGGACGCCATTGAAACCCTCATCAAAGGAGGGAGGCTTGCACAGTACAGGCGAAACGACGCTCCCCGTCGTGACGCCCGCGAGGCAAAGGAGCCCGAAGAAGATGCCCGACCATCTGACGAGTCGGTGCCAATCCAGACCGCCTTCTCGGTAACCAGGCCCGAGGATTTCGAACTTCCCGAGCTCCTGCAGGAGCCCTTGACGACACACAGCAGGTGGGAATACTTCCCCTCCGCCATGGTCATCAACGGGGGCGGGTTCAACGACCTCACCATCAACTCAGCCAAGAGGAAGTTGGACGAACTGGTCGACGCAGCTCCTCCACAAACTGTGACTATCGAAATGGTGAAGGGCAGATCAGAGCCCATCACCTTCTACTTGGAAGAGCTCCCCGGCGGAGCACCGAACGCAGTCATCCCCTTGCTGATAAGGGCAAAGATGGCCAATTTTGACGTGCATCGCATCCTGGTCGACGAAGGGAGTTCCGTCGACGTGATGTACACCCAGCTGTTCCGGACCTTACAACTGGACGACTCACATTTGTCTCCGTATATAGGTTCGGACCTTCAAGGCTTCAACAGCTCGACTTCCAAACCTTGGGGATATGTCGAGCTCCTCGTGACGTTCGGGGAAGGAACTACTACAAGACAGGTGAAGGTCCGCTTCCTCGTCATTGACTGCCCGTCCCTATACAATTGCATCTTGGGGAGGCCGACATTGGCGGAGCTGACAGCGGTTCCCTCAACTGTCCATCTAAAAATGAAGTTCTACACCAAAAGGGCAAGGGTAGCCACCATCCAGGGCGACCTCGCTGCTGCCCGCAGGTGCTTCAACGCCGCTTCAAGGGGACGGGATACCGTCGACGTGGGTACCAGCACCAGACCCATCAAGAAGACAAAGCAAGAGCCCGACAGAGCATCCCCCGAGGTAGAAGTTCAGAAGGCTCCACCAAAGGTCGACTCCATAGCCCTCGACGCCCGCTTCGACCAAGACGAGCCATCCAGCGGCGAGCAAATCCCCCTCCGACCCATTCCGGACGGCGATTTTGAACTCGTTCCCCTCGGAGCAGACCCGACCAAGGGAGTAAAGATTGGCAAGGACCTCCCCGACTTGGCCAGGAAGCAAATCAAGGCCTGTCTCCGCGAGAATGCTGATCTCTTCGCCTGGAGCGCTGCAGAGATGCCCGGACTCGACCCTGAGGTCGCCTGTCATCACCTCGCCATTGATCCAGCCGCCAAGGCCGTAGTACAACGTAGGCGTAGGCAGTCTCCAGAAAAAACGGAGGCTGCTGAAAAAGCTGTAAAAGACCTCCTAGAGGCAAATTTTATTTCTGAAGCCCGGTACTCCACCTGGCTGTCAAATGTTGTACTTGTTAAAAAGAATAATGGAAAATGGAGAATGTGTGTTGACTATACCGACCTCAACCGGGCTTGCCCGAAGGATGCTTTTCCTCTGCCTAACATTGACATGCTGGTCGACAATTCGGCCGGCTACAAGACTTTGTCGTTCATGGACGCCTACTCGGGATACAATCAAATCCCAATGGCCCTGGGCGACAAACGCTGCACGGCGTTCATGACCAGCTCGGGCAACTATTACTACAATGTAATGCCCTTCGGACTGAAGAACGCCGGCGCGACTTACCAACGCATGATGAACAAAGTGTTCAACAAACAGATCGGCGACATGCTCGAGGTATATATGGACGACATGATCGTCAAATCTCGAGCAGATACCGATCACGCAGCTCATCTCAAAACAGTCTTCGCCCAAGCAAGGCAGTGCAAAATGAGGTTCAACCCCGAGAAGTGCACATTTGGGGTTAAGGCAGGAAAATTCCTCGGATTCTATCTAACAGAACGAGGGATTGAAGCCAACCCCGACAAGTGTCGAGCATTCGCCG